TTTATTATTCTAGCCAAATGAGTAACGTTAGTACACTGGCAACAGATAAGGAAAGTAGAAACAAACACTGCTTTCACTTAACGAAGATAACCACAAAGAATGACAAATAATCGGGAATTAATAACTGCTGTCGGAGGCTGGATGTTTCTAAGCAAACCTATTTTTCATTGAGCCACGCGGTACGTAATATATTGCGGATTACAGCAATGTCATCTTCTCCGTCCCTTATTAAAAATGTTGGCTCGCTGCTCGTTTTGCGCTGAATCAAGAGACTGAAGGATAAAGGAGAGGAAGCAAAGAGAAAGAGACGAAGAAATCTCAACGTAAATGTTGATAGTGCAGCGGATTTATACACTACGTCTTATTAAAACCTTGTAGTAGCAGACATTCTGCATGTTCATGCGCGCGCACATGCCAAGTGCGATAAAAAAATATCGGGTCATAAAATTTTACAAAATAATTTAAGCAATGTTTTCGGTAACAAACGTTAATAAATGACATGAAAGCTACAATTCTCCGTGTAACAGTCGGTGAACGGATTAAACGTTGTATGATTAATCTTTTGATTGATTTTGAATTCCCCTCAACTATCACGGTTAAACGTGACTATCCACTATTGTAATAATCAATTTACAAATAAAATAGTACAGAAATAAAAATAAACCAATCTTACTTTTGATAATGAAAAATTCCTTCGTGTCAGAAGTAAGCTCAGAATTGTACAAAATTGATTTTTGCTGGTTTCTTGGCTTAATTAACGACGTTTCTTTATAACTGCATAAAATATATAGTGTCTTATCAGAGGATAAATTTTAATGAAGAGTTGGTAATTCTGTGGGTGGGAGCAGCCATGTCTTATTTTACGATACTATTAAAACATTTTTCTAGAGAGAGAAATCGAAGCAAAGAAGAAAATGGCCTAAAGACAACAGATTTCCAGACCCAGAGTATAAATTGGTACCTCTAGAGTACAAATTACTGCTTACTACATCTGGAAACATTTTGTTTGTACTTCCAAGACTAGGAGATCTGGAATTTGGAATTATCGAGGTTTCCTCCGTGTTACATAAAACCACATTTCCATTTCTCTGCCGACAAGAAATCTGTGCTTGTGTCAGAGATAATATGGCGCACGCATAATTGAATCTTTGCACTAAAGACAGTTCAATATCACGAGGACACTGGAAGCATTCGAATTTGCTGTTTCCGACGAGGGCCTTTGGAACATAACATCGCTGGCTGAAGTCTTTAAATCGCGAGTCTTGATTTTTATGGTAAAAACCGTACATTTACACTGATGATGGCAAAAAATAGGGGTGCAGGTTTTAAAAATATGTGTTTACATTACTTAAAGCTTAATAAAAATGTATACTTTACCCTTATTATATCCCTTCTTATCACTTCAGCACAATTTACGAAAATTACGATATTATATTTCACATAATAACACTATTTCATATTTAACAACTTGATGATTTCTACTCGTCTATGGAAATAAGTAAACAGAACCTACAAAATGCAACGAATTTAGATAAATATTAAGATATGTAAAAATACTATGTGTTGTACTGAAAATAGCTGTCTGGGGAAGGGAGTCGTGTTACTTGGTCCTCTCACAGTTTGTATCGATTACATTCTTATTGCTCTGAGCTTCAGCTTAAGTCAATTTTGGAAACGTAAACATAGCGTAATAATTCTAACTCATTTCCTTAGAATATGAACTACGACCAAGGTTGTGAATTACGTGAACACTTCCGTCTGACCTATACACATAATAAGAATTTCTGCAGGGGCGGAGCGTTTGTGTTAACTGAGTTAGCCCGGTTAAAACTTCGAGAAGCATAAAAAATAAGTTTTACTTACGTGGTTCAGTGGTACTCCACATACACTGAAAAGTCGAAAAACTGATCAGATAAATTTAATGGTTAGCCAGCTCCAGCCAGACAGGCGTTGCTATCCGGTGTCTGTGTTCCAGTGCGCTTGGTAGGCTTACCATTGAACGACGAATTATTTCTATTTTCCTTTTTTTTCCAAATTTTTAACCGGGTTAAAATGCCCATGAATTTCTACTCTAAATTTCTCAACTAATTCTTCAACTGGTACGTGTAGGTATTTATAAATTAATTTCCACTGTATTACACAACAAGAAATTGTGTGGGGAAGTGGAGTTAAAGCATTATTAAACACTACACTAGACAGAGGAAAGTGATTTCCTTCAACTTGGGCCTCTCTTGTGGTATGTATTTGAAAACTACGAAATATGAAAATGTTATAATATTTGACCCGGAACATTTTGATCACACCTTCCATCATCGTGCAGCAGAGACGGAAGGGGGAAATATCACGGCGATGAAAATTTCTTATGGAGAATAATAGCCAGGGTTATTCCATAGTCTTCTTTATTTTCGCATGAGAAATGTTAGACGTCAGATTTTGACATGTGGGCATTGTTTGTGTGTGTGTGGATATCAGTACGCAGAACACACTGAGGGTAGATTATTGAAACTTCCATCACGCTGCTAGATGTGAAAACCTCATTACAGACAGGATCATCTTTCCACGGAGAATTAACCGTCTGAGAAATTCTAAGACGGAAAAGTGTTGTGAAATATCTAGCACGAAGCAACGGGAGCTTACGGAGTTAAAACTGAACCTGTAAAGGCTGTCACGTATTTTGGAATTCGGGACAAATTACGAAGCACAGAATATTACCGAAAATATCCTATAACATGTACTACTTGTAAAACTAAGAAACGAGAATGACACTACAGAGTGCCCCACAAGTCCGAAATTACAAGCAATGAACATAATGTAGAATCTAATCAATCTGAAAACAACACGCAGTATTGTAATTATGACACAGAATTTGGTTTCAAGACTTTTTCTGTTCTACATCATTCGTAGTGAAAAGTGGGCATGGAATGCTTGTCAGTAACCAAATTTTAATTTTTAAAGTCTCAGGTATCAATAATTAAAAATATATTCACAAATGCGTTCTATAAAACGTTACTTATCTGCTGGAAAACAAAGGAGACGCTCCAAAACAAATCAGAGATTATTCCTCGCTAGACGTAATGTTATTAACCGCCCAGGAACATTTGCGAAAAGACAAAAAAGTGTGATTAGCGATGTTAGTAATTCTCTCGTGCATGGAAACTGATGTAGAAGGAGATTGATGCCGGTTCATGTGGTCAGCTGGAAGTTCTGTCTCTGGAACGAGCACGCGATGATTAACGATGAATGAAAACTGGACGAGGAGGTTGGGAGGGGCAAACACAGGTCGACAGTATATATAACTTAGTTCCAAGTTACAGACACAGGGCTCCCGGACCCATCGTTACACGGTGCTCGAAATTTTAACGTCCTTTGCAACCGCAGGAGAAGTGACTAGTCAAAATAGAGAATCAGTTTTCTGTAAATCTGAATTTACGCTTGAACACGATCCAGAATCACCCTTGTTTCCCTAAGGGACTGGCTAAGTAGCACATTATCAAATCTAGATCTTAAGTTTCCCTAACTTTACCTCTGATCCGTCACTTACCTTGTCTTGGTGTAAATGTAGCTAAGTTAATGAGATATTTCTATTTAAAAACAAGCTATAAGCGATAAAATTAGGAACTAATATGTTGGGCAATATCTTAATTTAGAAACACTAAAAGAATCATTTATATTACTTAGTAATTTAGTTGACATATTCGATTAGTTCAGTTAGTGTACTTAGTTAATTATGCTTGAAATTTAATGATAAAAGTTTCGAAGTACGACTACGCACAGAGACAAATAAAATAATATTTTAATAACCGCTGTTGTGATCAAAGTACTTTACCAAATAAAAAGCAGTAACGTACAGCTGAATGCCATACGTGGTGAAATTGTTTGAAACTCCAGTTTTGCTTAGTATGGACGGACGGACGGACATACAGACGAAGAGCAAATACAATCAGGCAAGCGAAGCACAGCGATGCGAAATTAAATTGTATCCACTCTACCCTACAGCGTTTAAATTATAATCTCTCCGCATGCAGTCTAATGCTTATTTGCGGGGGTGTTTACCCCACACTACCCTACGGAGAGACAGACTTTAATATCACTTATAAAGAAGATTATACAAATCATGCTGTGATTTTGACATAGACTCAGAATCCTAGATTTTCGTGATAAAGCTGATGATCATACCAGAGGTGTGTTTGGTACAGACGGAGGTGCGTTTTTCTATAATTTCTATCGGAACTTTAATTTTCGAAACTCTGTAGAAGGCTATATTCAGGTTTGCGACATCTGAATGGTGTAGTATTTCTCAGACGTATTTCCGCCGGACAGCTTAAAAATTTTCCACCACTGACAAGGAGAGATTCATAAAAATTATTGTATAATTCGAATCTGTATTGGCATTAAGTGTTTTTACTAATATAAGACATTAATCCAGTTTGAAGTACATATTCCTTGCTACTCTGAGTACATAGGTGAAGTTAATTTGTTTCATATAGTAATACACTGTTGTGCAATGTCAAAAAATACAGTAATAAGGCGGGAAAATACTAATATTTCAAGATGAAGCGAAAATTTAAACTGTTCCTGGTAGCGAAACTTATAAAATCTTTAAGATTTTTAATGCGATAAGTAATGCAGGATTAATAGTAACGCCCTGTAGTCTTCTAGGTGTCACAACCTTTAAAATTTACCACCATGTAAACCTCATATCTCAATCTCGACCTGGATAACGGCTATCCTTACACGTTTTTTGGTTTTTCCTTAACTCCTCGAAGCAAATGCCAAGACATTATCTGAAATTAGGCCACGACCAAGGGATAAGAATCGACTGTTGGTCCCTGGCGACCGTAATAATGTTGCTTCTTGCCGCCTTCCTTCTAAATCACGCCCGCTTCCTTCCACATCCTTTCCAATTCATTATTCACTAATAATTCCGAACTATAAACCAGAAACAAGTAACTGCATTTGTATTATAATTACAGTACTAAACAACATCTAACCTATTGTAGGGGTGGACAGCAGGTGACTTGACACTGATAGGCTGTGGTTTACTACCCCTGGAGGGTTGTGACTGCTCTCTGGACGCTCATGATGTTAGCCATTGACGCTGGAACTGAGCCACGTCCCCAGATGCATATAACATTAACGTACAAGCACTGTTTTACTCTGTCAGCAGTCTTAACATGGAGACTGCTCCGGGCCAGTGGCGTGTCGCCATCTTCACGAAGGACTTCGTCTCGTAAGCAGTTCAAACTTTTGTACTTGAATGAATTGGTCTGTGGTTCGTATTCATTTTATTCGCAGCAAATAAGAAATCATCTAGAAGTAAAGTCGAAGAATAAAACGTATGTGTTTAAGTCATTAAGATGGTCAAAACTAAAGACAGTACCAAGATAACTCGAAATAACAAGACAGAGTTTGAAAATGATGGGTCAGGAAGTCTGGCCCTAGTTATACCCTGAAGATTAAGAAACTAATGTATAATTTTTCAAATATTTTCTTCCACCGAAACGCAGTTAAAAATGGGAACAACTTAATGATGCTTAAATTAATGCTTAAGCCATTACATGTCAGATAGAGTAAGACATGTTTCTTGTCCTGCATTTAATTCACAACCGTACAAATATCAGTTCTGGAATTTATTGTTTATTTCTTATTCATTACATAAAAACTCCCTCCATATTTTGCGGATTTAGTCATAATATTTCAGTAAAATTGTCGTCCCCTTTCTGATACACCGTACTTTTTGACATCTTATCTCCACGTGCTTCTTGCGTGGAATGTTATTCGCTTGAAGCCGAAGCTCGTATAAATAATATTTATAAATCCAGTCCGTACCACGAAGAAAACACAACACTTTATCATTACAAAGATCTACTTAATGCCGTTTAAGGAAATAATCGCTGTTTATAGTGAGAATCATATTTCGTCTGAATAATATTTAATAATTCAGTCCGTACCGCGAAGAAAACACAGCTCTTCACCATTAAAAAGATCAACTGGTTAAAGCTGTTTAAGGAAATAATCACTGTTTACACTGAGAATCAGATAAACACAATAATAAAACAGGTGGTACGTGTACTTACCACTGGGTTTCAAAGGGTTCAAACAGAATGTCACAGCAGCGAAAAGATGAAAAAGGCTTCCTCGTTCTGTTTTCGTGAGCTGTTTAGGTAAAAATTTCGAGAATGATATTTCTATAAGGCTTTTTCCTTATAACGGACAGAGTGAATCGTAGCGAAAGTGTATTTTTCCAGATCAAGAAGCGGAGAGAGGCCTCAGAAGCAGACAGAATCTTTCAATTCACTTTCATGCGCCTTCATTCGCTTCAACGCAGAAGATAAATAAGAAAAAGCCATTTGTGCCGACAGCAGGATAACAATTTTCTGCCGACATGGTTTTCTTTGTCTCATATGCCGTTCATAGTTTCCACAACTGGGCCCATGCATCAAAGTCTGCTGTAGCTTCCGGAAGGCAAAGCTTCCAAGCACCGGAACTCCGGCTCCGTGGAGGTTGATGGGTGAAATTGACTTGACCCAACCAACCCTTCGCTCAACTTTCAACCGCCCCTGGGTTACAGACTACAAACACAAATTAGATCCCATACATCGACGTGCAAGCTGAAATCTCCTCGACGTACGCGACAGGCGAGTGACGTCATTATCATCTGAGTGCTTCGTCAAACATTCCCTGGCCATACAACGTACCTGACTTGTATTGAGACGTGCCCGGTTCAATTTCAGATCTGTTACAGAATTATTTATCGTGGTTTTCCTCAGCAGAAAGCAAGTACAGTCCCTGTAAAGAGACAAGAGCCATCGTCTTCTACATTATTATATTCTTACAGTTCATCATCATCTTATCATCTGCTGCCGTCTCAAAACATATTTCTTTTTGAAAATTTTAATAGTTTTTACTACCAAGCTAGTTCGTTGAGAGTTTTACTTGGGGTTACTTGTTGCAGATAAATTGTGTCCTTATTTTGAAGGCAGTGAAACTTATGACAGATAGTAGATACTTTAACGGTTGTGAAATGTCAGTGTAAGACAGCGAAAATAGCGTAATTATAGGCCCGCAGGCTTACGTAATGATACTTCTGTCATTTAATTTGAAATGTATAAACAAGGTGTATCTATGTAAATGAAAATGACTTATAATAAAATATGTATCACATAAAAGGGTGTCTATTCTTTTTTGTTTGTTTGTGGTTTACTTAGCAAAATTGTCAGTAGGTCAGACAAAATATCATCTACAAGATGACTAGTAAATAATGAACAAGAAATAATGAGGAAGGAGACAGTTATACATGTTACGTGTTGACACGTGACGCTCGTTGGGGACACAAGAAATTAGTACCAAAATTATGTGAAGAAATCTCACTGCAACATAGAACGAAATAATGCGAGGAGAAGATTGGACGGTGAATTCTTAATGCGTATTCTCTCTTTCTTGAAAGTTTAAGGTATTTTTATGTTCTGTATTTTTTGCCCTAGTAAATTTATCTGATTTTCTTTTATTACCCACTAAATCAACATTACAGAAAACGGGCGTACTTTGTACTGATATGGCTAAAGGATAAGAGTGTAAGAAAGTCTATAAATAATGCATCAGCATTTAAGTTGTAATAAACACTTTAATGGTTCTTCACAGTGCATCTCTTACGTTATCGATTTAGCATTAAAGAGTGCTGTGAGGCAGTTAAAATACAGACGAAAACTTGGTACATTTTTAACATCATATCATCAATTAAGTTTTAAATGTATTCGATTCAGCACAAATATAAACCTCTTAAATAGCTGATGACGCAATAATTTCTGCTGGAAAATGTTATATTACACAACAGGGTTGACCAAAATTCTCTATCCAGAGCTACACGTTGCCATAAGCGAACGTGCTTTCTTGTGCTTCTGATTTGGTCTTTTTTTCGAGGGAAATAATTTTCTGGATTGTATCATCATATTGTTCCCTGAGGATAGAGGCAGCAATGACATCTATAACGTTAGCAATTATCTACCAGATCGCACGGCGCTACAACCTAGAAGACATCCATCTTCAAACAAACGTAGAATTTTAATTAACACTTTAAAGCCGTATTTTGTCTAAACAATCTTACATACAAAGTTTAAATTGTTGGTTCTATGTTTGTTCATTTACATTTTAAAAAAGTGGTCAAATAGATTTTCGTCAAATTTCGCGTGATTGTTTATTCAGAACAGGGAGAGATTATAGTTGGGGTAGAATTCAGAAAAAGTATTCTGAGTTCCATTCCAGTTGATGAAGTTTCTTGTACATCGGAAACTTAAACACGATAAGCGAATGACGCCAACAAATTCTTTGTTTCGAAGAGGAAATTATACTTGTTACATGTGGACAGACAGGTAGGTGAAGTTAAAGAGTTACAATTCTGCGTACAACGGGTGTTGAAAACAAACGATAGCGCACAATTTCTGCACCTTATTTCTTCAATACGCAAAACGCTCGAAATGTTCCCACGTTCTTCTCAACTTAGAGATAATGTTATTTTCCGCTTCTCCGCTTTGCCTCATTCTTTATTCATACCACTACACCGCCGAAGAAGAAAAACCATGTAATTCACACCACATTAGAAATCTTACATATTAACCTTTTGAAGCCGAAGCTCGTCTAAATTAGATTTAAGAATTCAGTCCGTACCGCAAAGAAAACACCGCACTTCACCATTACAAAGATCAACTGGTTTATGCTCCCGATAAATAAAGCTCGTCTAAATAACATTTAAGAATTCAGTCCGTACCGCAAAGAAAACACCGCACTTCACCGTTACAGAGATCAACTAAACGACCAGTCCCGTAAAATTTTAGGTCTTTTTAAGAAACAGACGATGGGTAAAGTCCAAACGGAAGAAAGTAGAAACGTCTTGTTAGACACTTCTCTATTCAGTGTCGTTTAGTGAGAATGGCTCCAGGGCAATAACAATTCTGAATGTTCCCTCTAAGGCTTTCGTTTCAAAGGCCGTCGTCGTATTTCAGACGAAGCCGAAGCGATAATATTTATGCGGTCTGAAGCACACACAGTATATTTGCTTTGCGAAGCATTTAACTCCTGCGTATCGAAGCTCTCAATGATTTCTCACTTCCCATCTTCCTATGCCCAGTTCTATGTATATTTTCCTCTCAGAAATTCACGCTCAATGTGTATATATGTATAGGATAACCAAGCCACAATTTTTTCTACCAATTCAAGGATTTTTCCTTTCAGAATAGCCAGTGCCTCAGAGAGACTGAATGAAAGTAGGTAAAAACCTTCTGCATTTTCCAGATATACTGAAAAAAATCTTAACATTCTATCACACTACGCCACAAAACAAAATCAGTAGTGATATTTTAGGTTTTTAGGCTACTATCTGGGACGTGCAGTATCCTAGAAACTGTTCGACGTTTCGAAGATGCTTTCGTCTCCATCTACAGAGTGGCCGCTATGTTCTTTTCCGTTCTGTTCTACGAGACTACACGTTGCAACATACCTGAAGGCAGGCATGTTTAGAAGATATTGTTTTGATGTGGCTCTTACATGAACATGAAGCTCATTAAACAGAAAGGCCGGCAGATATTACAGTTTCAAAACTATTATTTAACGACGCAGATTAATTTTCTTGTGTTGTGTACAGCGGTTCTAGTAATGTCGTGTAATTATATATGATAAAAAGGTGGTGTAACCAGAGAACACGCTTTATTAATGTTGTCGGTATTTGGTAGCGACTGTCCAGTTTAATTAAGGACGTGAAATCAAGAACTAGGGCACGTCGTACACACGAACACTTGTGAAGGAAGAATACAGATCGGAAAAAACATAAATTAAACCGGAATTTGAAAGTAAAAACGGTTTGAACCATCTCTCCAATAACTGGTTTTAGTTAAGAAAATTATTGAATGACATGCGAACCTCCAGCCACAGTAAGAATAAACTTGTCTATTTTTTTAATAAATTACCACAGCGCTTCAATAAATTGTCTTAATTTATGACTCAGTGGCTTACGAGTCGATGTTGTAAAGTAAACTTGGGTCTGGTCTGGAAAAGGTTGGGAATTTCTGTCACGTGACATCAAACATAGTGGAAATGCGACCACCAACGGATTGGTTATTACATAAGTGGTCATGGTCCACTTTAAACTATTTCCAAGCATTTGTCTGAAGAGATTATAGGCATACCTCGGAGATGTTGCGGGTTTGGTTCCAGACCACCGCAATAAAGCGAGTCACACGAATGTTTTGGTTTCCCAGTGCATATAAAAGTTATGTTTACACTATACTGCAGTCTATTAAGTGTGCAATAGCATTATGTCTAAAAAACAATGCGAGAATTACCAAAATGTGACACAGAGACACGAAGTGAGCACATGCTGTTGGAAAAATGACGCCGATAGACTTGCTCGACGCAGGGTTGCCACAAACCTTCAATTTGTAAAAAAAAAAATTGCAATATCTGCGAAGCGAAATAAAACGAGGTATGCCTGTATAAGAAAACCACGATAATTCTCTATCATGTTAGCCTGCAACACAGTGTAGATATGAATCAGATACCTGCGTAATACGAAAGCATGGCGTCACTTTCCACGTGCCTGCAGGCCACATACGCGGGGCGTTGTGTTTCGATGCTTAAATTTGTGTGCGCACTACGTTGGCCTCCCACACACACACACACAGCAGCACAGAGTACGGTTAAGTTACATGAAACCTCACAAACCACATTCTGTCTAAAACATGCAAGGCAAAACGTTTTCCCGAAAAGCTGGCCGGCCCCCCAAAGTCCACACGACGTTCAAAACCTACAACATCAACGCCGACGAGGGAGATATCAGGTTCTCACTGTGGCGAGTAAGAAAATTACAGCCTCCTGTAACATGGCGTCATGTAGTCTCTCGACGTTTCAGATGTGTTTAATGACACTATGACCACGGTTTGCAGTTTGTCATGATTCCGAGAAAAATATGGGTTCTGTGGGGATAAGGCATTTAACAAATGTTTTGGCGGAAAACATGGAGTTTCAGCTTCTACGTGGACCCTGTCTGAAATATCTGACGCATTTAGGTGCCCAAATTTTTCATATCAAGCATAGAGGTTGAATAGTTGGATCGTATTCAGGAGGTTCCACTTTAATTCTCTGCCCGGACAGCGGATATCCTGACTGATGTCTTTCGTGGTTTGCCTTAGTTCCTCCGGGGAAATACGAGGTGCGATCAAAAGGTTTCAAGACTGCGCGTATAAAAACCCGTACACTTATCTCAGGTATTAAATTCATCCATCACCCTCGAAGTAGTTCCCCTGGGAGTGAACACAACGATCCCAGCGCCCCTGCCAAGTGTGGAAGCATCCCTGGAAATCTTTCTTTGTCAGCCTGTCAAGCACCATCTGCGATTCTGCCTGAATCTCTTCTATCGTCTCAAATCTCCTTCCCTTTAGCTGAATTGTCATCTGTGGGAAGAGGAAGAAGTCACACGGAGCTAAATCCGACGAATAAGGAGGGTGCGGGATGACGGCCATGGTGTTTGAGGCCAAAAACTGCCGAACTTTGAGGGCGGTGTGCGCTGGCGCGTTGTCATGATGCGTCGCATGGGGAGTTCTTCCTTTAGAATCAGCTGACAGGTCCCATAGCCTAGCCCAACAATGTCGCACAAGTCGTTGATGGTACGACGTCGATCTTCGTAACATTTTCGGGCGTTGTGCTCGAAGATGGTCGTCCAGAACGCTCGTCATCATCGACAGAGGTTCGGCCATTTTTAAAACGTGAATGCCACACAAAAGTTTGCGGACTCCCCAAATGCTTGCTTTAGCATTTCACAGGTTTCCGTAGCCGTTTTGGCGAGTCTTTGGCAAAATTTGATGCACACGCCATTCCGAAATCGCAGGAGGGTCGGTGTAATGCACTACCAAAACGCCCGTAACTAAGAAACAAATGCTAATTCGATGATGCCGGCTGGCACACTGATTCACTATGAATGTAGGCCGCACCCCCTAGCGGCAGAAGCTCGTACTACATCCGGTTCGCCCTCTATTGACACAGTCTTGAAACTTTCCGATCGCACCTCGTACGCGGATAGTCACGAAAACTTTCTTCCGTGTCCATTTCAATTCGTTTTTATTAATC